GCATTGCAGTCATGTGAGACATGGATCAGTTTGTTCTGTGGCATGTGGCATGTTCTTCAACAGGAGATGGCAAAATATAGCCCATTGGTCACAATGCCTCTTTTGTGTAGTCTTACATTTTCAATTGTTACCAAAAAAGCCAACAAAAATAAAAATATACAAGTTTACCAAGTTTGGCAACCTGTTTCCTTGAGCATTACAGAATACCATCCCTAGTTCCTGCTTTCTAGATAACTGCAGCACTCCAGCCACTGAAAACGAATATAGCTACCATCATCAATATTTCTTAATTGCTTTTGGTAGGGGATAATACCATTTTATGGAGGATTACTTCTTTAGTTTATTGATTTTTCAATGTCTTCCTCCTCTGTTACATACTTAACTGATAATGCATGCATGATATATTTCCATGCAGTTTCTTTGTAACTTTTTAATTTTATTTTATACTTACGAAAATAAATCCTTACTATGTTGTACAACAGCAACTAATACTACTAATGTATTACTTGCAACTTAAACCTCATAATAGAATGCTTTATCACATCTTCATTGGTACTTGGTGGCATGTTCAGAACATTGTTCAAATATTAATGTTCAGAACAGTAACTTTTAAATATTTCTTGAGCAAAATGATTTGAATAAAATAATTTCAGATTACCTTAAATTTGGATGACTAGATCCCAGTTCAAAATAGTGACTACAGGCCATATGTAGTGGCTTATGTCTATAGTCCAGACTACTTGGGAATTAGAGATTGGAAGGATTGTGGTTCAAGGCCAACTGAGGAAAAAAATTAGTGAGGGTACCCTCTCCCTTATCTAAACAGAAAAGCTGGATGTGGTAATATACACTTGTCATCATAGTTATACTACTGGGGAGGCTTAAGAAGGAGGGAGGTCAAGGCCATCTTAGGGGGAAATACAGGTTCTACCTGAAAAATAACAAAAGCAAAAAGGCTGGATGTATGGCTCAAGTGATAGAGTGCTTGTATTGCAAGCACAAGACTCTGAGTTAAACTCCAGTACTGCTAAAAAATCAACAATGATAGGGTAAAAACTAGAACCCAACCAAAATAATTTCAGTTGCAAGTGAAGTTATATCAGAATAGGTATCTTTGATATAATTTTTTTTTGTTTTTTGGTCCGGTAGTAGGGCCTGAACTCTGGGCCTGGGCACTGTCCCTCAGCTCTTCAGCTCAAGGCTAGTGCTCTACCACTTGAGCCACAGTGCCACTTCCGGCTTTTTTCTTTTTGCTTATGTGGTGCTGAGGAATCAAACCCAGGGTTTCAGGCATGCAAGGCAAGTGCTCTACCACTGAGCCACCTTCCCAGCCCCTCTTTGATATAATTTAAGGAAAGGAATGATAGATGTTTCATAATATTGTAAAGTAACGTGCAACAGAAATAACAGCGTAATTATAGTATACTATATAAAAGTTGTTTCATGATGTTGTGAAATAATTAAATTAAATTATAGCATATTATATAAAGTAATTTTATTTTTACTGTTTTTTTTTTGTTGTTGTTGGTGTTGCCAGTTCTGGAGCTTGAACTCAGGGCCTGGGCATTATCCCTGAACTTCTTTTTGTTCAAGGCTAGCATTCTACCACTTGAGCCACAGCATTACCTCTGGCTTTTTCTGTTTATGTGATACTGAGGAATAGAACCTAGGGCTTCATACATGCTAGTTGAGTACTCTACCACCTAAGCCACATTCCCAGTCCTCTCCAGATCTTTTAAGTTGAATCTTGTATTTTGTCAAAGGTTTTTTTCTGCATCTATTGATAAGATCATGTGGTTCTTAACCTACACGGTAAATTACATTTATTGATTTGCTTATGTTAAACCACCTTGAATTTGTAGGATGAAGCCTACTTGATCATATTGTATGATTTTTAAAATTTGTTTCTGGATTCTGTTGGCTAATATTTTATTGAGGAGCTTTGCATCTGTGTTTGTTAGAAAAATTGGTCTGTAATTCTCTTTTTTTGTTGGATCCTTACCTGATTTTGGGATGAGTGTGATATTGGCTTCATAGAATGAGTTTGGGATTGCTCCCTCTGCTTCTATTTCATGTAAAACCTTGAAGAGTATTGGTATTAGTTCCAATTTAAAAGTCTTAAAGAAGCCGGGCGCTAGTGGCTCACGCCTGTAATCCTAGCTACTGAGGAGGCTGAGATCTGAGGATCACGGTTCAAAGCCAGCCCAGGCAGGAATCTGAGACTCTTATCCCCAGAAGTGGCGCTGTGGCCCAAGTGGTAGAGCTCTAGCCTGAGCCGAAGAACTCAGGGACAGCGCCCAGGCCCAGAGTTCAAGCCCCACGACTGACAAAAAAAAAAAAAAAAAAGGAAAAAAATTCCATGGTGAATTCATCTGGGCCTGGGCTTTTCCTTGTTGGAAGGCTTCTGATTATTCCTCTATCTCATTGTATGTTATTGGTTTACATCTTCTTGGTTTAGTTTAGGCAGTTTGTATGTTTCTAGAAATTCCTCCATTTCTGGTAGGTTTTCCTTCTTTAGTGAGTATAGATTTAGAAAGTAGTTCTTTATAATTAGTTGGATTCTTGAATGTTCGTTATAATGTTTCCTGTGGCATTTCTGATTTATTGATTTGATTCCCCTCTTTCTCTCTCTCACTCCCTTTTTTTTTTGTTAATCTCAGAAGTAGTCTGCCAGTTTTAGTAATTTTGAAAGTAATATTTTTATTGAGTGTTATAGCCAGAGTTTTAGGGTCCCAATATCTGGTAGATAGGCAAATGGTCAGTAAATGCTTACTTAATTGTAACATGAAATATCGTTATCCTACCAGAAAGTCATAATATTTTCCATATAGTTTTTATACTGAGAATGAAAGCTGGTATGTTTGTCACAGCCCTAGTCCCACTTTCTCTTGCTGTATCCTATCTCTACATTGCCTATCTTTATATTCCTCTTGTTTCTACTGCTACTACTCTTACTATTTAGTCAAGAGCCTTGGTTCCAAATGATAGGACTATGACTTAAATTATCTTCTTTTTTTTGGGGGGGGTCCTGTCGTGGGGCCTGAACTCTGGGCCTGGGCGCTGTCCCTCAGCTCTTCAGCTCAAGGCTAGCGCTCTACTACTTGAGCCACAGCGCCACTTCCAGCTTTTTTCTTTTTTCTTATGTGGTGCTGAGGAATCGAACCCAGGGCCTCATGCATGCAAGGCAAGCGCTCTACCACTGAGCCACCTTCCCAGCCCCTTAAATTATCTTAAATAATAAATATAAGGTTGTTGATGCGTATAGGTGGGAAGGATGCCGAGAAAGCATACAGGATTGAAAGAAGGCCTGTCAGAACCAAGGCCTTGGGGATGAAAGGACAGAGATACAATCACATTAGAGTCCAGTCTCATTTCCGTTTGGCCTTTTTTTTTTTTTTTTTTAACAGTTGCAATCAGGGTTTCACCAAAATGTTTAAAAAGATGGCTGTCCACAGCAACAGCCTCATATCCTTCTGGTGCCATGATCTGTAAGGCTCTAACATTACCAATCTTCCTGCTCTACATTAGGAAATTGATTTGGACCAATCAGTGTGTTTAGAGACAGGAGGTACTCTGATTTGTCGTGGCCAGGAGGAAAGAAAACATACAAAGAAGAAGCAAGGGAGGGCTTGCCTTACTAAATCCCTGGCTGTTTCTGTGCTTACCCCAGGTCCTATTGTTCCAGCCTTCTGATGACTTCCCACTTTACTCCACTGTAGTTATTGTTCTCAAATTCAGCTGTGTATAATGATCATACAGTTACTTATCCTTCAGTGGCTCCTTTTGCCTATATATATAACACTATCTAAACTTGTGGATCTTGGTACACTATAATTTGACTTCATCTCAATTTTATCTCTCAGTTTTCCTGTTTATTATTAAACTGAAATAATTGGCTGTTTGAGTTCCAATAACATCTGTTCCTCAATGGGTAAGAAGGAACGTGAGAAATCACAATAGAGGTTTCATAATTTTGAAATACGTTTTGAAAGAGGATGAATATGATGAAATAGATTGTCTGCAACTGTGAAAATTGAATAAGAAAACCTAGTGAAATTGTTTTAGGAAGGGTTAAAGGGAAAGGAAGAGTGTGTGGGATTGCTTGGAACATACTGTAAACATGTGGACATGTAACAATGAAACCCCCCTCTGTGAAACTACTTACTGTAAGCTAATAAGGAATAAAATGATGTCAGAGTAGTAGTAGTATTGTGAATGAGCTGTTTGAAGATAGGCTAAAAAGGTAATATATTCACTTAACACAACTCATTTAGTTTCTTATAGACAAAGTAGAGTATATGCCACACCAAGCCTGTCAGTGAAAGACTGAAAATCGATGTAATTTTGCATCAAAGAACCAATTAATTTTATTCTTTTTTATTGTTTAAAATAACTTTTTTCCATGCTATGAAAGAGATATTTAAAATTTTGATTCTAATTATTGATCTAGAATTTGAGTGACGTGTGTGGGGGTGGTTATAGGGTTTGAACTCAGGGCCTGGGCACACTGTACCTGAGCTCTTTTGCTCAAGGCTAGTGCTCTACCACTTTAAGCCACAGCTCAACTTCTGGTTTTGAGTGGTTAATTGGAGAGAAGAATCTTACAAGGACTTTTCTGCCTGGGCTGGCTTTGAACCGTGATCCTCAGATCTCAGACTCTTGAGTAGCTAGGATTACAGGCATGAGCCACTAGTGCCTGATGACATGCAATTTTTGATATTTAATAGTAGCTTTTCTGATACTTGATACTTGAAAAGGCAGTACTTTTGTACTTACTTTGCAATCATTACTCATTCTCATTTTTGTTACTTGATTACCCTGTTTGAGAATCTATCCAGTGATTAAGGTCACTCAAGATGATATATTTTTTTAACAATTTATTTTTAGTCTTATGAATAAAGTGTGGTAGAATTGTATTGCCAACTCAAAATATGCTCTGTCATTAAGAAGGTTTTTCTGTTTACCAAATTCTAACTTAGTGCTTTTTGTTTCATTTTTAGTCTATTGCATCTGCAGATATGGATTTCAACCAGCTTGAGGCATTTTTGACTGCTCAAACCAAAAAGCAGGGTGGGATCACATCTGACCAAGCTGCTGTCATTTCCAAGTTTTGGAAGAGCCACAAGACAAAAATCCGAGAGAGCCTTATGAACCAGAGCCGTTGGGACAATGGACTTCGAGGCCTGAGCTGGAGAGTTGATGGCAAGTCTCAGTCAAGGCATTCAGCACAAATACATACCCCTGTGGCCATAATAGAGCTGGAATTTGGGAAAGGTGGACAGGTAAGCTTAAATCACCTTCAATTGATAGCCCATTGTAAACTGAATTTTCTATTATATTTTAGTCCATGTGGTAAGATCTCTGTAAAGTCTTTTTTTTAACTTAGTAATCAGTATATTAAGGAGACATTCATACATTTCAATAATTGCTTAAATTTTGATATCCAGATTTAAGCTTATGAACATATGACTTTAAACATACAGGTAAAGCTATTAATTACAGTTACTTTGGAGAAAATGGTTTAAAGTAAGCCTGTAACATATCTAAGGAACACCTTCCTAGGTTATACATGCAACTTCTTAATGTACTGGCCTCTTCAATTGTTTTTGCTACCCAACTCTGAAAGTTACTACTCAAGGTCCTTATCATGGCCCAAAGGGAAAAAGAACATAGCTATGACCAATCAACATAATATATATATGCATATTTATATATGAACACACACATATCTCAAAAAGATGCACAAAGGGTATGCAATTCTAGAAGTGCAAGCCCCTAGAAGCAGCATATGATAAACCTCTTCTTTAGAAAGGTATCATTTCTAGCCAGGTGCCGGTGGCTCACATCTGTAATCTTAGCTTCTTAGGAGGCTGAGATCTGAGGATTAAAGTTCAAAGCCATCCCATGCAGGAATGTCCATGAGACTCATCTCCAGTTAACCACCAGAAAATTGGAAGTGGTGCTGTGGCTTGCGTGGTAGAGTGTTCTCCTTGAGCTGAAGAACTGAGGGATAGCACCCAGGCCCAGAGTTCAAGCCCCACAACTGACCAAAAAAAAAAAAAGGACTGGGAAGGTGGCTCAGTGGTAGAGCACTTGCCTTGCATGCCTGAGGCCCCGGGTTCGATTCCTTAGCACCACATAAGCAAAAAGAAAAAAGCTGGAAGTGGCGCTGTGGCTCAAGTGGTAGAGCGCTAGCCTTGAGCTGAAGAGCTGAGGGACAGCGCCCAGGCCCAGAGTTCAGGCCCCAGGACTGGATCCAAAAAAAAAAAGAAAGGTCATTTCTCTGTCACGGTTAACACAGGCTAAATTATGTATTGTGCCACTCTTCAAGTAATAGTTGAGGCAATAAAATGCAAAGACATTACAGTGAGTCACTTAATACAAATAACAAGACAAACATTTTTTTTTTTTGGGTCCAGTCATGGGTCCTGAACTCTGGGCCTGGGCACTGTCCCTCAGCTCTTCAGCTCAGGGCTAGCATTTCAGTTTAAGCTTTTCCATGTACCCAGCTTAATCAATTACAAGATATGGTTTAACAGGTGCTAGAGGAACTATTTTAAAAGTAGTTTTTATAGGTATTATAACTTCATCTTGCACACTGAAGTCTTCTTACATACAGAACAAAGTCAGAGCTGTTATATTTATTTATTCTTCATTTAACTTTAAAACACTAGTATAGTTGAATATTACAACAAAAAACAAAAGCAAGTAGTGAGCTTATTATGATTAGTCCTTCACTCATCATTTAAAATGCCAGTAGTGGATACTGTTCACTGGCCCCATTATGAGGTTTGACACTGAACACACCTCTAGGGTGATGTTCATCATCCTCATAAGCCTCTCCATTATAATGGTGCCATCTTTCCTGATTTGGATCAAAGTCTACCAGTTACCTGATTCATTCCATCAGTCTCTTCTACTTCCTTCCTCTCAAGAAGGAATTTTTCCAGCAAAGAGAGTTTATCAGGAGAGAGGAAGCTGTTTTCAGGAAAGTTCACCTTAAACTCAATGATTAAGTGCCCCTTTTCATATGGTTGTCAATAAATTGGCATGCCTTTATTTAGCACACTCTTGATATCTCCCAGCTTGACAATCTGACCTGGATGAGAAGCAATGACTATGGTTTGGTTGTCAAGAGTGGAGATTGGCTATTGGAAGCCACACAGTGCTTCAACCAGTTGTATGTCCATACACATAAAAAAATCTTATCTTTGTCACATAAAAATAGCATAGTCCTTCTGATCTGATACAATGATGATATCTCCAGGCTCCAATCCTAGTTCTTGGTCTCCTTCATCATGGAATGTTATCTTCTGGCCATTTTTCATGCCTTTGTCAATATGAACATCCAGAATCATCTTCTCTTGAACTGTGTTCCTTCCATTACAGCTTTTATATCTATTTTTAGGACTGATCCTTTTTCTATGGCCCTAGCACTCCACGCACACCTGAATATGCTGAACCGTTCCAGGTCCTATCTGATGAATTTGTATTTACATTCCAGTACCTCGGCAGTAGGGACAGCATTCCACTGGCACTTTTTTTTTTAACCACCATGGCCTTCACATTTGTCACAAATCACATTCTTGTGTTTTGTTTTTTTTTTGTCAGTCGTGGGCCTTGAACTCTGGGCTTGGGCACTGTACCTGCACTCTTCAGCTCAAGGCTAGTGCTCTACAGCTTGAGCCACAGTGTCACTTCCGGTTTTCTAGTGGTTTTATTGGAGATAAGAGTGTCATGGACTTTCCTGTCTGGGCTGGCTTTGAACCGTGATTCTCAGATCTCTGCCTTCTGAGTAGCTAGGATTATAGGTGTGAGCTTTTTTTTTTTTTTTTTTTGTCGGCCATGGGTCTGAACTCTGGGCCTGGGCGCTGTCCCTTAGCTCTTCAGCTCAAGGCAAGTGTTCTACCACTTGAGCCACAGCACTTCCAGCTTTTTCTGTGTATGTGGTGCTGAGTAATTGAACCCAGAGTCTCATGCATGTGAGGTGAGCAATCTACCACTGAAACACCTTCCCAGCCCACAAATCACATTCTTTTGCAGAGCTAGTTATTTTTTTTTTGAGGGGGGGGGTTGGGCATGGGGCTTGAACTCTGGGCCTGGATACTGTTCCTCAGCTCTTCAGCTCAAGGCAAGTGCTCTACCACAGCTCTTCAGCTCAAGGCAAGTACTCTACCACAGCACCATTTCCTGTTTTCTGGAAGTTAATTGGAGATAAGAGTCTCACAGACATTCTTGCCCCAGCTGGCTTTGAACTGCAATCTTCAGATCTTAGCCTCCTGAGTAGCAAGGATTACAAGCATGAGCCACCGGCACACCACTAGGGCCTTTCTCTCTGCATCCTTCTCAACTCCCTCCCCCACAAAAAACAATAGCAGGGTGCTGCTGGCTCATGCCTGTAATCAAATGATAGAGAGCTAGCCTTGAGCTGAAGAGCTGAGGGATAGAGCCCAGGCCCAGAGTTTAAGCCCCAGGACTGACAACAAAAACAAAAACAAAAAAACATTTCAAACATATCCATGGGGGAAGCCAAAACCAACACCTGCTCCATCCTCCTTAATTGCCTATTCTCCTTTATCATATATTCTCTTTTCTTGGCATCAGAGATAACCTCATAAGCTCCAGAAATCTGTTTAAACTTTTCTCCTTCATTTGGATTCAAGATACTAGTTTTCTATAAGCCTTTTTCAATTCTTCCTGGGTGGCATTGGGTTTGACTCCCAAAACATAATAGTAAGTGGTTTCACCATTTTCTAGGGTGAGTGGGCTGGGGCCAGTGGGGGAGCAGGAAGGAACATAGCTATGTGCAGCTAGGGCATCTATTGCTCTTCTAACCTCTCTCAGAGCATTCCAGTTCCCAGTCTTTTTTTTTTTTTTTAATAGAAATGAAGCAATGACTATTGACAAGGTTCTGCTTCTAGAATCTTTTTAAATTTATGTATGTATGTATGTATGTATGTTGGTTGGTTGGTTGGTTGGTTGGTTGGGGGGCTTGAACTCTGAGCCTGGTTGCTGTCCCTGCATTCTTCAGATCAAGACAAATGTTGTACCACTTGAGCCACAGTGCTCAAGTGGTGGTTAATTGGTGATAAGAGTTTCATGGACTTTCCTGCCCAGGTTAGCTTTGAACCACGACTCTCAGATCTCAGCCTTCCCAGTAGCTAGGATTACAGGCATGAGCTAGTAGTCCCTGGCTAGAATCTCATTTTAAGGGTAGAATCATTAGGAACTTTGGATACTTCAGTTACAGTTAGAAACCAAGCACAGGTTCCTTGCAGCTGTGTTAGCCCAGATTTGGTCAGAGATCTCAGCCTTCCCAGTAGCTAGGATTACAGGCATGAGCTAGTAGTCCCTGGCTAGAATCTCATTTTAAGGGTAGAATCATTGCAGCTGTGTTAGCCCAGATTTGGTCAGAGAAGTGATTGCACAGATATTGATTCCTACTGCATCTATAGTCAGGTATAGCAGGTACAATAACTTAATTCATTAATGTATTGTTCCTTTAACCCAAGTGTGCCATTTCTGACTTTGAAGTTATAAATAATTTTCAACTTGATCTTGATTATTTACAAAACAGGACTGCTTTTCTTTGCAGTTTTTGCAGTCATCATGGCAGATAATTTTAGTATCTACATAGCTTTTCTTGATGTCATATAGTTGTATTCCAGTTGCCTGGCAAATTAGACTCTAATGACCGGTTTTAGGAAGAATAGAAGGGGAAGAGACTCATAATTAGGAAGAGAATACCCAGATCACTGAATTAATTATATTTGTTTTCAAATAAGTAATCAAATAAGTCTTTCTATTACATTCTCTAATAAAAATTTACTTTTTTCGTGTGTGCCAAACTGGGGCTTAAACTCAGGGTGTAGGTGCTGTCCTTTAGTTTTTCTGCTCAAGGTTGACATTCTCCCATTTGAACCAGAGCTCTTTGGTGGTTAATTGGAGGTAAGAGTCTCAAGGACTTTTCTTTTTCTTTTTTTTTGGCCGGTCCTGGGCTTGAACTCAGGGCCTGGGCACAGCTTCTTTTGTTCAAGGCTAGTGTTCTACCACTTGAGCCACAGCTCTACTTCTGGCTTTTTCTGTGATTAGTTTGAGATAAGAGTCTTATAGACTTTTATGCCCAAACTGGCTTTGTACTGCATCCTCACATCTTAGCCTCATGAGTAGCTACGATTATAGGTATGAGCCAGCGGCGTCCACTGAGGCTCTTTAATTTTGCAAGTGCAAATAGGTAAGTTCACCTGCAGCTGTAATGTGGTTTTGTCGCCAGATGGAATGC